GAAGTGGTGCATTGAAAACAACACTGAATATTTAGCGACCTGTAATGTCACCGATCTGATGCTAAAATGAACAGAGGTAGTTATAAGACTCTTCTGAACCTGGGAATTACCATAAACGGCACACCTACAGCACAAAACCAGAAGGACAAGAGGCCAAAATGCGTTACTTTCACTAATATTTTGGCCTCATACGTATAGTGAGCCCTTACACCTGTGAGCACAAGCCTTTGATTTGAATGGGCAGACATCTTTGGTCTCCTGGGGCTTTGTAACTCTCAACTGAGAAGGACTGTGGGATTGTTGCTCACACAAACTGATCACTGACCAAGCACAAAGAAGCAGGTCAAACGGTTGGTGGAAATATGACTAACCCTCACCAGTATAATAAGAAGAAGAGGAAATGGTGGGAGCTGCAAATGTTTCATTATGAAGGTGAAGGGAAACCAGGGCCTTTGGGTCGCGGCTCTGAGACATGGAGCAGAAACAGAAAAAAATAAAATAAAGTTGTTTCAGTGAGTTGAGTATTGAGCAAAGCGGTCAGGATGTTATCTGTCAGCGTTCTAAAGGGGTTCTTAGTAAATGACCCCAGCTTCGCCGTTTTGCAAAGCAGAAAGTTGGAGATGTCAAATCAGTCAAAGTGTGTTTATCGAGTGTTCTACAAAGCAGCAGAAAAAATAAGGCTTTGAAGACTAGAGTGTACAAAAAGATCAATAGAAAATGTTTCATGCTTGAGAAAGTTGGTGGTAAAAGGGAGTTGCGTCTGGGCTTCCACTTTGAGCACCTGCCCCCAATGTTTTGAAAGTTGTGGCAGTGTTTTAATGTATCAATGGAGGATACTGAAGAGCTTACAAAGAAGCTCTGTATGCTGGGATCTCCGGGACGACATTTTGGTGATATCGTTTGTGAAGCATTCATTTGGGTTGCCAGTTTGCAAGAGTCAAACCAGCTTTTAAATAATTTTACACCAATTTCTATTATTATTTTCATTTCCTAAATTCTGCCACACACTTTTGTCCATATGAAAACAGATACAAAAATAAGTATTCATACATAATAGTTTGTACTGTTTCTTGTTAAACTCCAGCAGGTGGATTGCATCTGTAATCCATGCTCAGGAGCTGCATGCATCACAGGCAGGAAGATTCTGGCAACAAAAGAGAGATTAAAATTGTAATGACTTCAAGGCAAGGCAAGGCAAGTTTATTTGTATAGCACAATTCATGCACGAGGCAACGCAAAGTCCTGAACAAAACAAGATAGAAACAGTCACACAAGGCATTTGAATCATAAATTATCACCGTTCATTAAAAAGAGTGACGATACAATCCCTCAGTTGAATGCACAGATAAACAATGTCAGATCAGAGGCCTCCATCCATCCATCCATTTTCTTCCCTTTAATCCATTTCTGGGTCAGGGGGGTGACAGTCAGAGATGCCACCCAAGTCTCATAGCACCAGCCCCTCACTGACCCTCTGCAGGTGGTGAGTCCACAGGAGGACGGCTGCTCTCTGAGTGTGAGCATAGCCTTGATCTTTCAGTGGGGGCTTTTTGGGCAAAGTGGGGTTAAGTGTCTTGCCCAAGGACACAACGACAGCAGTCATCAGTGGGAGTCGGTGGAGAAGGTGCAGAGGTGGGAATTGAACCCACGACCTTCTGGCCTTAAGGCCAATGCTCTCCCAACTGAGCTACTGTCGCCTCCTGTGAGAGGCCTGTCTCACATTTTCAGGAAGACTATTCCAGATTTTAGATGCATGAATCTGGCAGCATTTCAGATCATCAGACCTAAGTGTGCATATCGCAAGACATCGTTTATACTTAAGTGTACTCTTACTTCAGTACCTAAGACCAGTACTTTTTCCCCCTCTGTATTTTTCACATGTTGCACACATACTGTAGTAGAAGGACACTCCTGACCTGACAGACCTCACACATTAGGCGACTCCAAACACTGCTGCACGTCCCTGTTCCTCCACTAGGGGCTGCTGTGGTCTCAGCCTGTTTCTCAGTACAGTACAGCACTCCCATTGGCTTCACATTAAAAAAAAAAAAAAACAACAATATAATGGGCTGAAAATAACATCTGCTTATCTTTGTCCAGCAATTTACAAATGCATCATCAGCATCAAACAGCGTTCAGTTTAAAACACCCATTGGATCGTCGCTGTTGGATTAGGCGGTCAAAGAGAACATTTGTGAGGAGCAAACTTGGATGCATTTTGATTTTCTACTAACATTTAAACTTGTCCAGAAGAAAGATTAACACATGTGGTTTGTGCCGATGGAAAGAGTATTGTAAAAATAACATTGTACTATCAAATCAGGCCACAACATGCTTCCTCTTATAATTATTATTTTGATTACTTTTCAGAAAGATCCCTGCGAGTCACTATTTGACACTTTTGGCTGAGAACTGATTGGCTGCGAGGGTGTTGTTGTGGTCCTCTCTTTTTCACTTTTCTGCCTGAAAAACGGATCTAAAAATATGACGTTCATGTGAAAACTAGTGCTAGGACCAAATTATTTTGAGAGTGAAGGAAGCGTTTCACAGATATGATTGTATAGTTCCCGTTATTGCAGTTTTTGCCGTTGGGTACCCCCAAGCTCTAGGAGAAGACTAAATTACACCAATTGAGAATAATTATTATTATTACTAAAATAGAAGTGCTTGTTGTAAGTAGTATTTGATTCATAAAAGTCTAGTCATTAGAAAAAGTAGTTGATTTGACTGTGTGAAATAATTTTATTTAATATGATCCATTATTTGTGTTTTTGTCTCTTATTTTATTGTGTATTTTAGGTATAATGCATTTTCAATCATGAAGTATAAATAAATATGCCTAAATACAGCTAAAACCGACATTGGCAAAGACAATCCTGATTATATGCTAAATTGCAGCATTCCTTAAAGGGGGCATTATGGCAGCCGGTTTCCATGACAACCTGTCAACACTTCAGGATGAGCACATGCAGGCTGTTCCCGACTCTAGCTCCACCCCCAACTTTGAGAGGATTTTTCTCTCCCAGTGCAGAATTTTATGGCAATTTGTTTATAACTCTCAGAACTTCAGTCTTGGTTAGGTTTTCTGGCAGCTTCAGGCATAAGCTGTTTTATTTTTTTTTTTAATCTCAAAATTGTACGTAATGCACCTTCAACCGTGCAATTCAGCTCAAAGTCTATGCTGCAGGTTTTTACATAACAAAATCAGTTAAATCTATATATTCTTTTTCAGATGTACAGTTTTCATAAAGTGACTATAATCTTGCTCTACTGTCACCTTCCCCCTGACACTATACCTGCTCATTACACATACCAAAAGCACAGTAAACCAAGCCCTAAATAATAGATGGCTAATAAGTTGGAGAGAGTGTGCACTGTGCTTCTGGTTTTATTGTTACATTTGGGCCAAGAATAAAAGAGTTGTTTATTTCCTCCCTTTCTTTTCACGTCCTTCTCCTTTTTTTACGATCCATGAGTCAACACAGCACACGTAAATGATATTTTGACACGCGGAGCCATGAATAATGCATGTGGCTGTAGTTTGTGCTGGAGTCAGAGGCCCCTCCCCCTCCTCCTCACATTGTGCCGTTCCCCTCACTTTGCTCTGATGGGCGGAGCAGAGCTTTTGTTGAGCCACAGCGCCTGAACTTGAAAATATGAGCGATGTGAGACCAAATAAAGATAATGTTTTAATGAGCTAAAGAGGTTAATTAATAATACATTAAAGGAGACGTATTGTGCCAAAAAAAACCACGCTTTTAATCATGCTACACCAGTGGCCTAGTCCAGAGTAGAGCCCTGCACTTGAGCCTCTGGCCCAAGGGCCCCGACAGCCCGAGGGCCAGGCTTCAGGCCGATGACCGTATAATGACCTCGGACACGGGCCGGGCTCGCGCACTTTCAGAGCGGCAGATTACATTTAAGAATGCACCCACTGAATATAGCGTTCTATCACGCTGTAGTGTTTGTTGTTCTGTGTAGTGTTGTCATTGACGGCACATTGCGTTCCTTACAAGTGTATTGCTGCATCTGTGTATCATACAGATGCGGCCGTTCACTCCACACACACAGAACTCACTGCAACACATCACTACCATGTATAACTCCGCCCTCTAGCCAAGCCTGTGTTCATATCAGTGCGCGGCACTATATACTACGCTAAAACATTGTTATGGGAGGTTAAAAAAAAAAGAAAAAAGTCAGGCTTGATGCGGGTTTTGGGCCTGAAAATTCAGACACCGTATCGTGTAGGCCCGTGCAGGGCTCTAGTCCAGAGAGCTAATTTCTCGAGACATCTCGAGGGATTCCTTTAAGCCGTTCTGGGAAAATTAGTTGATACATTTGTGAGAGCGAGGTTGAGAATGGGTACTGTCACTATCAATAGTCGTTTATCATGACATATTTGTTACTAGTGCACCCAGTAAGTTTTAAATAGTGAGCAAGCGAATAATGTCATCGTCATGTCATTTTCTACCCCTTTATAATTCCATTTCTGGGTCGGAGGGTGGCAATCAGAGCTGCCACTCAAGTCTCAATGCACCAGTCCCTCGCTCACCCTCCTACAGGTGGTGGGTCCACGGGATGATGGCTTCTCCGCGATCGAAGACATGGCCTTGGTCTTTCAGCGGGGGCTTCAGGCAATGTGGGGTTAAGTGTCTTGCCAGGACACAACGACAGCAGACATCAGTGGGAGCAGAGAGCAAGTGAGAGATACATTCTGATATATTCACTACATAATTGCATTTTTTTATTTTCTAAAACTGTCGGGGAGCTACTTCTGAGAGAGAGCCATGTGTTACAACATTGTCCCTAATCAGACATAGACCTGGAGTGGTTTTTAAATCCATCCACGCTCCGATCAGGAACTTCTGGCACAAAAATTTAGCTTTGCCCCTTCTGTATAAAAGCTCCTGTCTTCCTGCACATAATGGCGGGGCCTGGCTTTGCTTTCTTCTCGGTTTCTTGTCTCAGGGTAGGTCCACCAGCCTCTTCGGTCCAACATGGGCTGCAGCACCACTTCTCTCGCCACATCAGCTGTCCATGGACAAGCTGTATCGCTCCCTGGTCCTGGCACCTTGCTGCTCTCTCTCTGCTGCCCGACCTGCCTCTCCAGGGCAACTCAGTCTTTGTCCATACCGCCTAGAACTAGTCATGCATCTTTGGACTCCTGCACCATCTCTACCCGGGGCACATACAGCCAGTCGCCCGTCGCCCCTGCCTTGGTCCCACGTCCCCTGTCTTCTGTGTCCTCTCTCTTCCTCTTCCTCGACTGATCATTCCCTTTCCTCCTCATGTCAGTGCAGGTGAGCCAATTACACACAGAGGTGCAGGAAACAGGGCATGCAGGGTCACGAGGATGCTGAACACAAATTAGTTAAAAAGGGCAATAAAAAATCCACACATTGACAAATACTGCAATGAAAACACTGCATAGACGGAATGTGCACGGTGACATTTGTACACACGGCATCACGCTCAGAGCAGTTAGCTGCATTGCCGAACAAGTAGTTTTGCCAATTTCTGAGGTGGAATTACGTTCTTTTTAATCGTACAACATGTTTTATATCTGAAATAAATTAATAATTATTTAAATTAACTCCTCCCTCTAGTGGTAGCAGAGGGATCATAGAGACAGAAATCATGTTTCACCATATACTGTAGATATCACACATCATATATTATTTCACGGCATAAAACAAAGTACGGCCGGGTGGCTGAGTGGATAGCTCTCTCGCGTCTCAGCAAGAAGGTTATGGGTTTGAATAGGTTTCCTCTGGGTGCTCTGGTTTCCCCTATAGAAAACATGTACAATAGGTCAATTCTCCAGTTCCGGCAGTCCTGACCAAGCGGATCATCAACATCTGGAGATGGGTCCCCAGGCATTTGACCCATCCTAATGCCCTGATAAACACACTTACACAATTTGCACATTTATGTTTTAAATAGTTTGGCTAAAAATAATGCAGAATATTTCTTCTTCATTGTACTATTGTCCTGTGACAGAATGGAAGATCACTTGTATCTGAAGTTTCTGATCTCAACTTTGAATATTAAACATATTTAATCCAAATATATTAACAAATTAAACATATTTGAGCCAAAGATCTTTGCAAATTAAACTTTTGATAAAACACCAACCTACTCTTGGATAAATGTATTACTCAGCACAAAAAGTTTGACAAAATCATCTTAGGTTAAATTTAGTCCATTTTATTAGAAAAGTGGAAGAATAATTCTTGATAAATTAGATGACAATATTAGAAAATAATTTTCTTTCTGTTGTTATATTCTTTAGTGAAAACAATAAATGATACAGAACCATTACAAGGAAAGTGACATATGCTAAGCCTTTTTTTTGTTACAATATTGATTATATAAATAAATAAATAAATAAATATCATAACTTTCTGAGACATTTTATTTTTTGGGGGGATTCTAAACTCACCAAGAGAAAGCAGCTCTAGTTCTGCATGCCATCTCAGCAAGAAGGTTTTGGGTTTGAATCCTGGTCGGAACAGGCCTTTCTTTCTTTTTTTTTCTCATAAAACAGGGCCTTTCTTTCCTACCCCTAAAACACATGTACAATAGATACAAGCTTTGGTCCTGACCAAGCCGAGCATCAAGATCAGGAGATGGTTCCTTGGGCAGTACTACGGCGACCACTGCTCCTGACAGAAGCACGAGTGGCAATGATGGGTCAAAGGAGGAATGGCCCCCAAACTTCCTCTAAGCAGTGTGGATGAAGCTAAATATTATGTGATTATAATTATACATGCAGTCGATAGGATCTACATGACTCCTCCTCACTGATCTCATAAAGTGGTCAGGTTCTGTGGTCAGATACTGCAGCGTCAGCAGACCCCTCCCACCGCCTTCACCGGGAGCTCACATTATGTGTCCTGCTGCTGAGCGGAGGCCTCTCACGCACACACACACACGCACGCATACACACACACATGCATACACACACACACACACACATGCGGTGCAGTTCAAATGCTGTTTGGGTAATAGAAATAACCTCTATTTCATCAGTGGGTGCGTTTGCAGAGGACACAACTGGATCACTCTCCTTTAGTCCGATATAATTCAATTGATCAGTATGTCTGAATGGAATCATTTCTACTCCTGTTATTCTGGCATGTAACCTCGTAAAAGCAGATACTACTGAGACAAGGCCAGCAGATGCATCTAAAAGTCACACTTATTTGCTGTTTTTGCTGTTTTTTTCTAGATTGTTCTGTAAAATTGTGCTCTTCAAGGACAGCACAGTCTCCCTGCACGTGTGAAGCAAAAGCAGGAAACACTGTGCTTTTAGTTGCGTTGCAGGAATAAAATGACAAGCATTTGATTTTCACACAGGCTCAAAAGTCTCAAGATGTTGTGTGGTTACATTTGTCCTACTTCCCCAATACAGCATGTATGAGCGGCATGTTAGTTACCGTTTCAAAGTTTGAGTGCTCAGCCAAAGTTAGGAGAGTCCTTAGAAAGTCCCCTTTGCTCAGACCAGAGTGGTCAGACCGGTTTTGGGAGCAGCATGTCTGTAAATGTGCTCATGTGCACATACAAATAAACTTTGATTGATTGATTGATTGATATACCTCATATAAATGTGCATACCTCTAAACAGTGCCTTTTAAACAGAACTCTTTTCAGTTTTGGGTGATATGAATTAGAGTAGTTATTTATATATATATACCTTTTTTCTATGCATTATTCTTAGGTAGGAATGTGCATGTTTTAACGGTTAAGAGGATACTTCCACATGAGGCAATGATTAGCATCTCGAAACAACCCTGAGCCCATAATAAATGTATATTTCTGAGAGATCTTTTACGTCACATTTTATATATGTTAGTTGTAATTGTTTCTGCTTGTGAGGTGACCCTGTTTGGCTGTGATTGCTTTGTGTGTAGAATAATAAACATAACATTACATTACCGAGCACGTATCCAGAGGAGGGGGTGTTCTCAGCGGGACGCCCAGACCTCCTCTCCACACACTTCCCCCAGCTCCTCCAGGTCAGACACCCAAACACCTCCCCAGGGACCGGGGCAAGCAAAACAGATGGGCCATCCACCTCAGCTGGTACCTTTAGACATGATGGAACAGCGGCTCTATTTCAAGCTCTTTCCATGTGTAGCCCTTAATCACAACAGTTGCCTCTGAGTACGTCACAAATGTTCTGTATTGTATTTGTAAATTAAATTGTGTTTTTTTTTTTTTTTTTAGGCTGGCTTAACATCTGTTCACGGGACTACCAATGAAAATTATATTAATTTAGCTAACTCAGGCACATTTACATGGTATAATGTTGATTAATGTGCACTGTCTCGTTTCAAATACATAAAGGAAGTTGTCGATTTGCCAACACATCGGGCCTTTGGTCAAAAATCAAATTGTCCTAAGATTGGCTTAAAGTGGACATGTTTCTGCAGTGTTTTAAGTTACTTTGAATATGGAGATACATCCGGTTTGATGGACGTGGAGTGGATTTTTTTTTTTCTCGGCACAGGATTTGTCAACACGCTGGTTTATAGGGTGATGTTTGGGCTGTTGCATCAGGAGTGAGCTGACAGAGGATACACTGGAGAAAGTTATGAGTGAAAGAGCGCTCTGAAGACACAGGAGGAGCGAGGAGAATTATGATTTGAAAAACTAAAGAATGAAACTATTTGTTTTGTTGAATTGTCATAAAATGTTTTTATTTTGAATCGTCTAAAAAAAAGTATAGACTATCATTTATACAAGGGCACCCACCCAATTTATACTTTTTTTTAGACCAAAAATTTATATTAAGTTTTGAGAAGGAAATGTAACGAAAATATATAATTCAGTATATAAATTGGGCTGAGAATTTTTTATTCAAAGGTAAAAAAGTTAAAAATTAAAACTGACATAAAACAGAGATTGCAGTGTAGTACATCTGTCTTTTGGCTCCCAACTGTTTGGGACAGTTTGCCTAGTTTTCATATGTATGTCTTTTTGGACTTTTAGATAATCTTTTTCAATCAGTAAAGTGAGGAGACGGCCACCCTCCCTCAGCCAACCAGCTCTCAGGATGTAAATAATACAATGTTTTATTGTAAGTAAGTAATCTTTATACTAAGGTTACTCAAAGCTTTACGATGTTCAGACTTCAGGTATTTGTCCTTTCGCTCCACACACGGTGATGACGGAAGAGACGCCGAAAACACTGGCATTCCCCAACCAGCACTGTCCACTCACTCACTCACTCACTCATTACATTAAGACCTATTATACATTTTTTTAGTGGTACGGGAAATCGGAGCACTCAGAAGAAGCCTGCGCAGACACAAGCTCTAACCGCTGTACCTACTTTGTTTTTATACTGTCTTTATTTTCGAATTATTAATTGTGCGATACAATAAAAAGAAGAAGCAAATATACGAATATATATATATACACAGTTCGAAAAGATAAACACTGTTTGTTGTGGTCTGGTTTGTTCACAGCATTTGATTTTTGCCAGTCCTTCTGGTGGGGCAAACAACATGTATGTAAGAAACAAACAAAAACATTACCGGCATTAACAATATTATATCGCCCAGCTCTAATATACACATTAATAGGTTCTAGGCTACAGCTGTGAGCAAGTGGTGAAAAATGTTTAGTTATTTTAAAATAGTGCCAAACTGTAGGATGAGTTCTGTCTATTCTCAGTATGACGCTGCTCTACTTTACGGAAATATCTACATATTTTCCCATTTCTCTTCACAAACTGAGACTTTTTTGGCATTTAAAGGTTACACAGTAGTAATTCCCAACATTAGGAAATAATAAAAACTTCAGGGAGATCAGGCATACAGCAATTGTGTGTATCTCAAACAAGTCAAACACCACAATGGGAAAATATTGGATACAAAAAAATGTTCTGTGTTGGTCACTGCTTGTGTAAGTGTGAAAAAAACGGTGCGCGTGGAGGAGTCGTCTGCAGAGTGCTTCTTTCATTCATAATTTATCTCTCCCCCATTACATCTGATGAAAGCAGTGACCTGAAATACATGCAGAATGAGCTCCTTGCTTAAGAGAGCATCTCCATTGTGCTCAGCGTCCACTGCGCCGCGGCAAACATCAATAAATGAATCGTATGACACTGGGATCATGTTGTTTGTGTTGCTCCACATGGGAATACAGGGACGACACACTTCTCCAGCAACACACCGTTCGACACTGAGCAATAAGTGTGGAGCCAAAGAACACAAGAAGGGCTCCTTTGTTTTGCAGCAACATTGTGTCTGGAGTGCGATGGCGTTTTGAGTAAAGCCGCGAGGAATTGGGTATAAACACACATTATTTATTCATTTTGGTATTGAGGATATCTTATGTGGCGTTTCATTATTTAACAATATAGAATAATCATGTCCTAATACTGCGGTACCAACCTTTACAAGCACAGAAATGTAGAATTAATGCTCATACCTCAATTTATTTTTGTATCAGTCTAAATCACAAAAGCGGTTGTCTCGGAGGACTTTCCAAAGTTCTCGGTTCAGCAACAACAGATGACAGAATCAAACAGTTTAAACGTATGAAAAGCATTAATGACATAAAACACATAGAAGTCACTGGTCCATTAGGGGCGGGATGACCAGTGTCCATAAAAGTTAACTAATGTCCTTAAATGTCCCGCATCATTACTGTCCTAATACCCTTCTGCATTGACGAGGAACGACTCTTATTTAATTTTGTATTTACCCTGGTTGTTTGTGGGAGGGACAGTGATTCTGCTGTATAGGATTGAATCACAAAAAAACCTTCAAATGCGTGAGAAAATGTAGGCCAGGATCATCACAAAACTGAAATCAGACCAAATGCATCTGATTCATGACATCGTGGACCACAACAACTGTAGTCGCCACATTCGCCCCTCTGCTCACGCCTCTTTTAGTGGCCACCTGGACTTTGTTTTCTACTGACCCGTTTGTGCGTATGGACTGTCTCCTGAACTCAAGGCATGTTAGTGCAAAAGTGTGTGAAAGATGTGACTGGGAGATTGCCCGGAGATTGGCTGTTTGCACAGAGCTTAAAGGAGCTCTGTCAAAACGGTCCTCAAACCGAGTCCAGTCCTCTCGTGAGTCCAGTCTTAACCTGAGATTTGGGGAAATGAGTGGGTTCTAGTGTGCTCCTACTTGGTTGGGATTAAAACCTGCAGCCACACCAGCCCTTTCTGGAACCACCGGCTTACTGACACCCCTGACCTTAATGATTAAATGGAGAAATGTCTATGCTTCTAATTAGGTGTTACAGGTCTTTAAATACACCATGCTTTGTAAAGAAAATGTAACACCCCACTTCTACCACTAGAGGCGGTGTTTCACTAATCCAGATCTTTTTCTTAGCCATTATACCGTATTCTCTGTATATTTTCCACCCAAGAAATGATTGCACGTTCTAAAATATCAACCAGTGAAACAAATTAGGCCGACAGCAAATTTAACATTTTTTAACTTTCATATACACGCTTATTATAACAACGAGGAAAAAAAAAAAAAAATACAATGTCTCCAGGTTCTTTGTTCCTCCGCTGTGACCCAGAAACTTCATCTTCCCAGCGGCACTTGAGGAGTGCAAAGTCTGTGGTTCCACTTCTTTAAGACGGTAACCCACTCGTCACACGGCTCCTTCTGGCCACACGGCTCACACTACAGCTCCAGCCTTTGTTCTGCCCTGATTGGATTGTGGCGAACAATAGGGAAAGCTCCGACAATAAACCGCAAATTAGTGTTCTTTTCTCTGTCGGAGATAATTCCACTGCTTTTGAACAATTCTGGTAATTCACTGAATGTGCAGTAATGATTACAAGAGGAAGAAGTTGGCTGTGAAGAAATGTTAGTTTAGATTTGATATATTTTTGATTATAGTACATTGAAATTACAACAAAAAAAAACAGACAATTTTTGGACCAAAATATATTCATTGACATACAGGTGAAACATGGAAGATTATCATATCGCTCAAAAGTCCATTTGCTTCTGTAATTAAGCCAAACAATTTGCTATAATATTGACGAATGGCTCGCAGCTTGTAAAAACCCAAATAAAACATTTCAAAGTTGTTTTTTAAAAGTATTGAACGTTCATCTGTCTTAGATGATCTTCTGGTTTAAGTTATTTCCTGTTTTATTTGAAATGTGTTATTCTGTGTCTTCTTTGGTTGTACTTCCTGTTGTCTGATTACCTGCCCTGCCCTCATCTGGCTCACCTGTGTCTCGTTAGTCTTGTATTTAGCCCTGTGTGTTCCTTCACTCCCTGTTCCGTCATTGTCATTCCTAGTCTGTTTTAGTTCTGTCCATTCCCTGTGTTTTTGGTAGGTTTTGATTTGTATTACTTTCATTAAATCCATCATTTTGCAGTTTTTGCCTTTTGGTGCCTCATTTGTTTTTCACCCACGTGATAGAATGACGGAACCACTCAAGGCCCAAGCAGACTGCTTTATTTTTGTTTTTTATTTTTTGTCATCTCTGGCCCATCTTTGTCCCCGACTGGTCTTGACAGTTGATGCAGGAGCTGGACGCATTCCCTGTCTGTCTGTGTCCTGGACCACTGCAGGACACTTAGTTCCGTCCTGGGTGGTTGCAGGCTTCCGTTCCTGACCTGGCTCCGCTGGATATTCTCCATCCAGGGGGCCTTCTGTACCCGTTTGGCTCCAGTCCTGGCTCCAGTTCCTGCTCCAGCTCTTCGGCTCCACGTCCCGGCCCCGGCTCCACGTCCCGGCCCCGGCTCCACGTCCCGGCTCCACGTTCCACGTCCCGGCTTCACGTCCCGGCCCCGGCTTCACGTCCCGGCCCCGGCTTCACGTCCCGGCCCCGGCTTCACGTCCCGGCCCCGGATTCACGTCCCGGCCCCGGATTCACGTCCCGGCCCCGGATTCACGTCCCGGCCCCGGATTCACGTCCCGGCCCCGGATTCACGTCCCGGCCCCGGATTCACGTCCCGGCCCCGGCTTCACGTCCCGGCCCCGGCTTCACGTCCCGGCCCCGGCTTCACGTCCCGGCCCCGGCTTCACGTCCCGGCCCCGGCTTCACGTCCCGGCCCCGGCTTCACGTCCCGGCCCCGGCTTCACGTGCCGGTTACACCCCCCCGGTCCTTCCTACGGTCCCCCTCCTCCCTCCCTGGTTTTGTTTTTGGGACGTCTGGGATCCGTCCCTTGAGGAGAGGGTACTGTCATGGTTTAAGTTTATTTCCTGTTTTATTTTGAAATGTGTTATTCCTGTGTCTTCTTTGGTTGTACTTCCTGTTGTCTGATTACCTGCCCTGCCCTCATCTGTCTCACCTGTGTCTCGTTAGTCTTGTATTTAGCCCTGTGTGTTCCTTCACTCCCTGTTCCGTCATTGTCATTCCTAGTCTGTTTTAGTTCTGTCCGTTCCCTGTGTTTTTGGTAGGTTTTGATTTGTATTACTTTCATTAAATCCATCATTTTGCAGTTTTTGCCTTTTGGGCCTCATTTGTTTTTCACCCACGTGATACAAGAGTGATTAGCGCTACAGCAGGTTAATCGTAGGTACTCATCGGGATCAGAAGTGAGCCTGATACTGTTTCTTTTCTTTTATTGATTTCATTTTCATTTTTGTATTGGATACCTGGTATTAGAGGTGCACCCATCAGGAATTTTTTGGCCGATCACAGATCACAGATCATTAAAATGATGACCTACCGATCATGGCCGATCCGATCAAATAGATATTTTTTGTGAACTAGTTCACTTTATAACTAATCTTTCAAAACCATCAAGGTACTAGGTAGCAGAGGTGTGGACTTGAGTCATGTGACTTGGACTCGAGTCAGACTCGAGTCATGATTTTGATGACTTTAGACTCGACTTGACCAAATATAAAAAGACTTGCAACTCGACTTGGACTTTAACATCAATGACTCTGACTTTCACTTGGACTTGCGCCAATTGACTTGCAAAGACTTGCGTAACCCGGGCCATTTTTACCTTTCTCCGCATCTCTCTTTCTATCTATGCCGTCTCTGAAGAAACAAAGCCTCGCGGTAGTTGTAGCGCTCGCGAGAGAGTTCGAACGTGAGTTCCCCGCAGTTCGCGCAGCAACACTTCCCTAAACAAGCGGACTGCATTCACCGGTGGGTGTGTTGTCGTAGGGGAGCTGGAAATGAGCGAGCTGCAGGTATTTATCGCGACCTAACGTCATATTTTGTTCTACAAACCGTAATTGATATGCTTTCACTACAGGCGCCTCATACAATTGAATCGACGCAGTTGTCACACTGTGTGCCGTGTTTTAAAGAGGAACTGGTGAGTCAAACTAGCGCTAGCCTGCGCTGCTCTGTTGGCTATTTCTTATATTTTTCTGTGTGGGCGCCGAGGCCTATTATTATGAGTATGTTTTTGCTGTGCTCCTCCTGCTAAAGTTTGCATACATTAGATAGTTGTTTTGATTATGTGCACTAAACTAGATTAATATTTGCACTATTGTTTATGGTGCATTGATATGAGAATCAGTGCTTTGACTGATTGAATTAATTTATATGAGACATTTTATTATGTAATGATATATTGGTAATTATGAGATATTACTATTGCTGGTCCAGTTCATACAGGCCAGGTTCCTTCCCCTCCATTGGTCATTGGTCCCTTCAGTCCTTTGCCCCCCCCCCCTTTTTTTTTTTTGATGGCGAGCTGCCCCAGGTCCAAAGCCTAGACCCCTCATACTACCCCTATCCTACAGTAGGACTGTTAGCAGGCCTGGCTTTGAGCGGCTGGATGGCAGTGAGATAAACCCAAACAAAGTTGACGGAGGCAGGCTTCAGCTTGGTCCACTTATTTTTATTTTCTGTTTTTCCTTTTTTTTAAAGTGACCAGTGCAGACAAAGAAAAGGGTGCAAAAATGCAAAACAAACCAACACAGTGGATGAAGGACAGGAGCATGTGTTCCCCAGCAGCAGGACAATGGAATGGTAAAAATGGGCGCCTTATATACTACTGGGTAAAACCAATTAAAACTCCAGGGGTATAGCATTAACATTAGCTTCTAAAAACTATGTTAAAACCCTCCATTAAAATACCAATAACCAGTTACAATAATAAAACACCCCCCTACAAAAATATACTCCTAAAACACCCTCCTACAAAAATATCTATACCAACTATGACTAAAAACAGTGCTAGATCCCCCCTCCACCAATTCATTGACTTGGTCCAGCCGGAACCATAAATGCCGGTGTTTGTGGCCCGGGGACCCTTTTGGCCCACGCACCTGGACACAAGACAGTGGTGAGTAAACACATTTTTAAAATACATATCACAGCCACACTTATATCATTCACCCACTAAAACCACACATCACACACACCCGAACCCATACCAAACACAACTAACTCAAACACCACATATATTGCACAAAGCCCCACTCAAACTGTTTTGTTTGTCTCCGCAGACCGGACTCTGGACAACCCAAGCCCTCAATAAATGTCTTTCTACCCAACAGTTGTGTGCAATTTATTATATGTGCAAATTAGCATGTGACAATATGTGTACAGTGCAATTTAAAGTGTGATGTGACATTTAAAAGGTAAATTCATAAAGTGCAGTGCGATATTACCCGTAAAGAACAGATGTTCTTTACATTTCCCCCTCCCTCTCCGAAGGCGAAGCCTCATCCTCAGCACTCCGTGACAGACAGTCCGCGACCACGTTTGACTTGCCGGGCCGGTATTGGACGGTGAAGTTGTAAGGCTGCAGGGAGAGGTACCATCCCGTGATACGGTTGTTGGCGTTCCTCATCTTGTGTAGCCACTGGAGGGCGCGATGATCTGTCTCCAGTATGAAGTGACGTCCAAGCAGATAGTATCTTAGAGACTCAACAGCCCATTTTACCCCCAAGCACTCTTTTTCCACGGTTGAGTACCTGGTTTCCCGATCCAAAAGCTTGCGACTTAAAAAGACAACCGGCCTTCTTTCCCCCTCCATCTCTTGGATTAGGACTGCCCCGAGCCCGGTCTGAGAGGCGTCCGTCTGGAGGATGAATGGCTGGCTGAAGTCAGGGCTTTGGAGGACTGGCTCTGTACAAATGGCCTCCTTCAGGTCATTGAATGCCCGCTCACACTCAGATGTCCAGCGCACCTTATTTGGCTCCTCATTCTTGGTCAGGTTTGTTAAGACTGCCGTTCTTTCTGAAAAATGTGGCACAAATTTCCTGTACCAACCGACTAGTCCCACAAATCCTCTCACCTTCCTTTTGGTGGTGGGAACTGGAAACGAGCGTATCGCCTCCATCTTCTCCACCTGGGGCCTAATCTTCCCGAAGCCGATTGTAAATCCAAGGTACTGTACTTCCCTGTGGGCCACCGAACCTTTTCTGGGGTTGATTGTGAGCCCAGCTTCTCTTATCCTCTGAAGAACTTCCTGGAGGTGGTTCAGGTGTTCTTTCCAGGAACTACTGAACACTACCACATCATCCAGATACGCAGCTGCGAACTCAGAGACGTCTCGCAGTATGCGGTCCATCAGGCGCTGAAACGTCGCTGGAGCCCCCTGCAAACCAAATGGCATTACCCTGAATTGGAACATACCAAATGGTGTCCTGAAAGCGGTGAGTTCTTTTGCTTCAGGGGCCAGCGCCAGTTGCCAATAACCCTTGCTGAGGTCCAGTGTTGTGATATAAGCTGCAGATCCAACCCTCTCCAACAAGTCGTCGATTCGAGGCATCGGATATGGATCGCAGTTGGATATGGCGTTGATGTATCTGAAATCAATACAGAACCGCAAAGATTCGTCCTTTTTAGGCACTAGTACGATCGGGCTGCACCACTCGCTACTGGAAACTTCAATTATTCCCAGCTCCAGCATAAACCTTATCTCTTTTTGCAGTACCGGGACCAACCGCTCCAGGATTCTGTAGCTCCTTTGGCGTACTGGGGCATCCTTCTTTAGCCGGATTTTGTGCTGGACTAAAGAGGTAAAGCCTGGGGTCTCCTGGAAAAGAGCTGGGTCCAACAGGGGCTGAACTTGTTCCTGCTGACAGGGAGAGAGGTGGGAGAGGTCAACAACAATCTGTTCATTGCTATGAGCTGGAAAGAACTTTTCTGTGGTCTCTTCGTCCTGCACTGCTCGGACCAATAGCTGCTGTGCAGGCTCTGGGCGAACGTGAAACTCTTTTAAAAGGTTCACATGAAACACTTGATGTTTCTTTTTCCTGTCAGGCATGTGTAGCTCATATGTGACTTTTCCAACTTGTTTTGTGACTTCATATGGCCCGTGCCATTTAGCTAAGAGTTTGTTTTCAGTGGTTGGTAACAACAACAGTACCTTTTGCCCTGGGCTGAAGACTCTCTGCTTAGCTTTTTGATCATACCAGGTTTTCTGTTTGTGTTGCGCCTCCTTCAGGTTCTCCTGCGACAGTGTTGACATACCCTCCAGTCTTTCCCGCATCTTTATGACGAAAGATACAATGTTGTCCCCTTCCGTCTCCGTGCGCTCCCAGTAGTCCTTGAGCAGATCCAGAGGTCCGCGCACCTGGTGTCCATATAAGAGTTCAAAGGGGGAGAAACCGGTGGATGCCTGTGGGACTTCTCTGTAGGCAAAGAGAAGATAAGGCAGCCACTGGTCCCAGTCAGCCCCTGTGCTGGAAACAACCTTGCGCAACATGTGTTTTAAAGTCTTGTTATAGCGCTCCACCAGCCCATCCGTTTGGGGGTGATAAGGTGTGGTCCTGATCCCCTTAACCCCCAACAGCTGGTAAACTTGCTTCAACAGTTTAGACATAAAATTGGTACCACAATCAGTCAGAATTTCTTTTGCCACACCTACCCTGGAAAATAGCTGCAAAAGACAATTTGCAATTTGCTTAGCTTTGATTGAGCGCAATGGAAACGCTTCTGGGTATCTTGTGGCATAGTCACACAGGACCAAAATGAAACGGTTACCTGAGGAACTTTTCTCCAAAGGACCAACAATGTCCATTCCAATTCGCTCAAATGGGGTACCAATAATGGGCAGCGGCTGCAAGTGGGCGTGACCAACCACTTTTCCTGCCGTCAATTGACATTTCTCACAGCTTTTGCAGAAATTTGATATCTGGGTATACATGCCAGGCCAGGCAAAACGACTGCCGATTCTGCGCAGTGTTCTCTGAAAAGCCATATGACCGGCCCAGGGAATGGAGTGGCCCAGTTCCATTACCTGCTGTCT